CCCTCTCTGCGGGCTGTGAAAGTGAAGTCCTGCTCTGCGGCGGGTGCGACAGAGGTCGGGGGATGTCCTGACCCCCCAGAGGTTTAACCTTGTTCTCGCTTTTCGACGAGCCCTAGAGCTGGCAGTGCAGGTCGAGCGGCGTTCTTCACGTTTGCAGTTTTCCAAACGCCTTTTTACAGCCCTTTGAGGTAGAACAAGTAACCAAGAAAGCGCAGTGAATGCTACATGGTCTAGTACCGTCCTCTTAAAAACAAAAAAACCCCAGGGACCCATGGTATTCAGATGGATAATTACAGAAGTTGGCAAGGCTGAACGCTTCCATACATATGTATGCTGGATTTGAAACAGCTTTCTTTTTTTTTTTTTTTTTTTTTTTCCTGGGCATTTGTTTTTTTTTTTTTTTTTTTTTTCCTGAGCAGTTGTATATATTTGTCACATTGAAAGCCATGCAGGATCAAAGTTTATCTGTAGCCACGTGGAAACAAATGGCTGAGAACTGTAGCAATGCCTGTGTTCCTGAAACTATTCATGGAGAAAAGCTGCTGCAGCTCCTGGCACAGGCGTGTTTGGCGTGTTGTCTGTCCTGGTGATGCCCTGGCAGTGCTGTTACAGTTTATCCACGCTGCCATTATATCCCAGACCTTGGTGCTCTATAACAAAGTTATATGAATTTGGTCCAGACTGAAAAATGCCGTTAAGACTTGAGTTCTGAAGGATTTTAACCTCAAATTACAGACTCTCATTCAGACCGGCTTATTCATTAAATTAAATTGTGGGATGAAAGGTTCATAGTGCTCATAAAGCCTTTTTGGTAAGGTCAAGTTCTGCCCCTGGCACATAGCAAACAAATGAGCTTAAACTGTAGGGGAATCTTGTAGGCTGTCATTAAGGGCTTTCACCAAACCATTAATGTAGCCTCAGGGCTGCAGTACCTTGTGTGGCTGCTGGCCTGGGTTTAGAAGTATAAATGCCTTTGGCTTGATAGGCTGATATAATTGGATAAAGACCACTTTATTAGGAGGCGTTCAAATGAGTCATTGCTACTCAAATTGTATTTGCAGCTAAAAATGGAAGGAGAAAGTTGACTTTGCTTGTACTGTATTTATTTTATTCTCTAAGCCTGGGAAAGGAAGTCCAAATACCAATAAATGTAAGTTTGCTTTAATGTTTCTAATCCTGTTAATTGAAGTCAGCGGGCTGCTGACTGTGAGGGATGGCTTTCTTGCTCTCTTGGACAACTTTACAGGAGCTGCTGGCTGAACTTTGAGGGAGAGAGGGTCCGAGGCAGTTGAAGGGAGAGTTGGACTGATGGGAGCATGCTGGAAAACTTTAAAAAAAGGGGACAGGAGCAGGGAAGTGTGGCTGAAATGCAGCAGAAGTACTGGAGAGCAGCACCTTTTTTTCAGCACCCGTCCTTGGCCTGGCCCCTGGCAGCCCCCAGAGAGCCCTACTGCAGGCGGTCGAATAGCCTGCGTGCAGTCCATGCTGCCTTTGGATTGAAGGTGTATTTTTGTTCGGATTTTAAACCCCACTGGCAGTTGCCACAGAGAAGAGGGGCTGCAGCCGAGTAATAATAAACCTCATTCATTCTTGTTGTAAATTGACTGAATAATATTAGTTTACATTTGGAATGAATCTGACCCAGTATCTTGCTGTGAATCTGGAGTTCGTGCTGAACAAAAAGTCAGTATGAACTATAAATATTCCTCAGTTGCTATTCATACTAGAGATTTGGGACAGAGCACGTGTGGAAGAAGTCTCGCTTTGATGAGGTGAGATCTTGTATGATTTTAGCATTAAATGATTTTATTAACAAACCAAGGGTAGCTGTGTTTTGTAGAGTAAAGGGTGTATTACATACTACCTGGGAATGATTTCTCAGAGAAGCGTTGTCATTGTTTTGCTGAATGTGCTTTACATTCCCTGAAAAGGGAGATGGCTATCACATGTTGTAGGTGAAATACGTATTTGTTAAGCACTAGCCTAAGTCATAACTGCTCAGCATGTGTGTGCTGGAGTCCCTCATTCTGGAGAATGTTGGACTGAAATGGAGAAATTATTTGAGAGAAGAAGATGCAATAACAAGCGGAAAAGTGTGTTGACACAGCGTACGAAAGGGAACAGCAGGTAAGCGATTAGGGTTCTTTATCTTCGCAGATAAGGTTGGAGGAGACAGCCGAGCCAGGCTGGTTTTCTCTGATATGGAGGGAAGACTCCTGTGCGCTCCACAGACCCATAGAACTGTCACTGAAATGCAAATGCAGCGGAACCACTGCACTGGACCAGTTCCTCCCATTTAAGAAGGGATGAAGCAGAATTCCCTCTTAAATTCTTACACTCTCCCATCCAGCTCTGCAGCTTAACTCCTGAAACCTTCCACAGCTCGGTTAGGTGGAGCTTGCCATCATCCCAGACTGTTGCATGGGTGTCGCGTGAGGCAGAATCTTTGAGCAGGTAGTTGAATGGAGTCATCTGAATCCAGGTCCTTGCTGTAACTTTCATGCTTGCCACAGTGTTTCTATCTTCTGTGACAGACATTATGTGTGTGGGACAAAATGGATGTGTTTTATTGCTGACTTCTGAACTTTGCCTATAAAATGGTTATGGTAAAGGCAAGGAAAAAAAATGCATTCTTCAAATCTGCACAGAATATGCTTTCATGTACTTAAATTTTAAATTCTTACAACCTTTGCCTGAAATGCAAAGCTCTTTCATTGGGGAAGAAGAATAACAATGAAATAATTTGTCTTTATTCCAAGCAAGATTTGATTTGTGTATTTTTTGTTTGTTTGTTTTGGCAACGTGATTCTGTAGGAATTTGGGCTATGCAAGATATCCCTCCCTGTGTACCCAAAATACAATTCATCTCCACTACAGGCCTATCCTGTATGTTCGTGGTTAAATCTAAAATTAATCCCACAGGGTGGGATGCTGAGTATTCTCCTTTTAGAGTGTAAGTTAATATCCAAATGGAAAAAGCTGTTAAGTTGCTTTGGGATATATGACAAGGAGATTTCCTAGGGTGAAGAAAACAATGTGAAGAACAACTCATTGTATCAGAAACACTCCTGAAAGTAGCAGTGGACTTAGGTTTTGCTGTCATATGTTAATTGTCTGCTGGAAGTCTGCTGAGAGACAGCCTTAACTTCCTTGAAATAGAAACCTTTAAGTTGTTTGCTTTAAACTCAACTTCTGAAATCGCTTTCAAGAGTGCCAAGTAGCCCGCTTAGCCTTAAGTTCTCATAGTTGTTTTTTGGAATATCATTTTATGTTTCTGAACTGTCAAGCTTTTTTAAAACATGGGGAGTGATCATATAAATCCACACTCCGCCTGCCCCCGCCCAAAGATTTACCCTAAATGCTTCCATTTTGCAGGACACAGGCTTTCTCACTGGGTATTGAATTTTGGACTTTCCCAAGCATACTGGGTGCCTTTTATGGAGCTGAGTGTTGCTGAAGTGCTGGGCCACTCGGTTTGCCCCCACTTCCCTGGGGGCACTGTCAGTGGGATCTCCTTTGTGCATTTTGTTTTGTTACTGTGGTTTTTTGTTTGTCTTCGTGTCCCCTCCTGGCAAGAACATATTTCAAAATAAGAAAATGTCTTCAATTTTTTTTTTATTGGACTAAGCAGACAGAAGGTCTATTACTGCATTATAGTTTATACCCAGAGGTTTTAATTTCATGTGCTGATTGCTAATAGGATGGACTAAAGCTTTTTAGATTAAAAATAAGAATATGAACGCTGAAAGCTTTACACGGTTCTATTTTAACTTTTAACTAGTTCTTGAATGGTGTGCCTGAGAACATGTAGCAAGTTTTGGTTATTTATGAAGGTTACCCAAGATATGACAGGTCAGAACTAGGGCAATAAAAGTTTATATTTTATGTGTTTAGCCCTTTGACTTTCATTTTCAGAGTAACAATGATAAGCCGAGATAGGAGTCAAGGTCAAAGTAGTAACTTGTGTTTTTCTTGCTTTTTCTTGGCTTCTGCTCACTTAAGGAAGTTTCAAGCTGTGTGTGTAGTGGAGAGATGTGTTGCTGGACCACACAGGGCTGAATCAGGAATAAACTTTGTCCCCCTCCAAAGCCGGCTGTGCAAGGAGGCCCAGCAGCAGCTGCTGCACGCTGCTGGTGCTTGCTTACTGCCTGGAGAAGGTTGCTAGGGCAGACTCCACCTTATTCAAGTGTGGCACAGATATGACTCATGTATTTTCAGTTGTATTCGTCTATTTATTGTATGTACTGGCAGCAAAGCATCTGCTGTCTGAGGAGTGGAACTTGCGAATCATGGCTGATGGAAGAAAGCTGGAAGTGGCTGTTGGCCAGGGGGGAGAAGGGGGTCCGGGGGAGGCTGCAGGCTGGGGCTCTGAATGGGGACTGGTTTAGCAGGCCACTGCGTCACAAACCAGTGAGCAGTGATGTGCTCTGCTCTGTACAGTACTGCTGACTGCTCTTCTGAGTAACGCCTCTGTGGTGGGATTGCTGGAAACGTGAGCTTGCCTGTCCACAGCACTGGTTTTTGGTTTTGGTGTTTAGGGGTTGTTTTTTTTAATGCAGAGGCAGATGATGTCTGCAGTGGGGCTGAAGATAGCCGATTTTTATCTTTTTCATTCACAATTAATTTTTGTGAGAGGTTAGGATTATGGTTCTCCAAATATAAAAATAGTTTTAAAAATAATGAGAACTTGTATAATAGCAATTTACTGATTCAATCTTTTTTTCTTTTTAAGGAACAGCATGCCAGTCTGCTAGCATAACAGAAAATATCTTTGAAACAAGTGTTAGGATAGGTAATTCTGTATTTTTGTCTTTTGTCTCTGTAATCTAAAAATCTGTCCTGGATTTTAGGTGCTTGGCATCCGAGTATTTGGAAAATTGTTTTAACTTAGTTTCTATTTCAAGTCCTCTTTTCAGTCTGACGTTACGAATTTAGCATATATGCATCCTTCAAGAATGGGAGAAACTGCTTTTTCATTGTTTGGCAGCCACAGTCCTGCTGCCTTGCTGATTTTGGAGGAGAAGAATTAGACAGTAGCTGCAACAAAGTCACATTGTGGGGATTGCATCAAGATGTATTTGGCGCTGCTGGAAAGTCGTGCTGGCACGATGCAAGCTTCAGCACGATGCTGTTTCGCCCCGGTTTTCGTGCCGTTACCTCAGTCTCTTTTGCGAGCTCTTGGGGATGTGACCGTTCTCCCCAATTCGGGACGCTTGCTGAGGGTTAACCTTGCCGAAGATGAAAGAAAACTTTGTGCCCTGTACGATTTAATGAAGACTGGCAAGAGTAGCGTGAGCAGCGCACCCCTGGAGCCTGCTGTGTCCGGAGCAGCAGCCAAGCCTTTCTCCGTGCTTGTTTGTGTTGTTTAAACGGACGTGCTGTCTTTGGCTCTCAACTCCGTACAGTTAACAAATAGATGTTTTGCCCCTGAAGGAGAGGTTTGTTTTTCTTATTGCCTGGTTAATCCATTCTAAAGGTTACTCTAGAATACAATTTACTATTATCTAAAACAAGTCTACTTATGCAACAGCACTTTAAAACATTCTATCTTTTACTTTCCCGTTCAGTTGTTAAAAAAAACAAAACAAAACCAACTGTTTTAGTTTGCTGTTGCAAAAGACAGAGCATTCCAAAAATTGTCTGACTCAATTTCAGTTTCGTGCATGAAAAGGGAAATGCCAAGGAGAATTAAATGGTTTGGTAATCCTCTAAAACTGAAGGGATTATATTTTCCTCCTGTTTTTGGCTTTGTAGAAATTTGATGTTAAAAATATAAACAATTCTTTTTCCAGAAGAACTACATTTAATTAAATAGGCATATCCAAATGCAGCGCACATTAAAGTGGGAGTACAGTGAGCTTGTAGGGGATGTCAGTGGAGCTTTTGCTTCACAGTTATTTAGAGCAAAATCTTTTTTCCTTTTTTCACCAGCTGCATAGAGTTTTGGAGATTTAGGTAATTATATCTCCTCTTAAATTACGACTGTGTCAGAACTAACTTTCCATGCTTTTGTGAGTGAAATTGGAAAGCAACTGAAATGTTTTTAAAGTCACTTAGTGGATTGTGTAGTACTTCTGTTGCACTTAGTCCGGCAGCCAAGTTTTTAAATCCCAAGTTTACAGCCTTAGAAAGTGTGTAGTCACATTATCATGCTGTTTGGACATCTTTTTTGAAATTTGCTATGGATGTTGCTGCAGCCAAGCTGATAACCCTTGGGGTTTTTTTGCTGTTGCTTTTGTTGTGTGTAAAAGCTTTGGGATGAGTATATACAGGTGTACTTTATTTTGGATGTATAGCTAGCTCAGGTAATTGCCGAGGAGATGTCTTCATTGCCTGTTTTTATGGACTATATTTGGTCAAGGAGCATAGTACACTTGGTTATTTTTTTGGTGGTGTTAAATGAGCTGAGAAAATGATTAGTTTGTGCTCTGAAATTCCCTTTACAATATTGCGTTTGTCTTTGAGAGTGTATTTGTATGTTTGCACTAGGTATCTATGATGGTAAATGACTGAGAAATTCAAGCATAATAAATACTTTTGCTTAGTGTTTTGCGTTAGCAACTTTTTTTAGGTGTAGTTCCAGGTGAAAGAAGAGTAATGGTGTTTGCTCTTTTCCTGCACACAGGTACCAAACTGATAGGTTGGACCTGAGCTCTCTGCTCTCTTTCTGTTTACTGTACGTGACGTGACACAGGGTGGCACCAGCATAGCTGTTTACCTTTCTGCCACATCATCGTCACGAGAAGGCAGTAGCCTTCCCACAGGCTGCCCTCCCAGTTCGCCACCTTCATCCCGGGGAAGGAGGTGGCCGGGGCAGGCATGCAGGGCTGGGTCCGGAGGAGAGCATGTGGGGGCCTGCTTGTGTAGCTGCCGTGTTAGGTGCGGAGTGAGAAGCGATTTGACAGAGGCACAGGAGGAAGTTGGTGCCAGAACCACCATGGGAACATCAGGATTTCTGGCTCGTGCTGTGCTTGAAATGTTCCTTCAGCTGCAAAGGACCTGGAATCACCTCATGTGGTTTAGTGAAAGCAGGTAATTAGATAAAATTACAAACCTGTTGCACAAACATAGCAAGGGAAGGCACTGTCTCAACTTTTCTACTTCATAAATCAAGACTTGACCCAGCAACTGATAACCATTTACAGTTTTGAAGTAGTTGAGCTCTTGGGATGGAGTATGGCTTATATCGGTTCTGGTGATTGTTAAACGTCTCGTTGCAAGTGTAACATTTCAGGAAGAACTTTGGGGATGTTGAGACAGTCTTGTTTCGCACATGATGACATAACCTTTGAAAACAGGGCACGGATGCCTGGCCAAAGGCCTGCTGAGCCTTTTACCCAAGAATCTCTCTACTGCTGTGCTTTCTGTGCATACCGAGTGTGCTGTATCGTCAGATTACACGCTGACGGAGTAGATCTGTCACTAGCAAGATGCTATTGCCTGTATTTTTCTGTTGTAATGCAAAGATAAATGTGGTTGACACTGTTGACTGGTGTTAACTTTGCTTGTGTACTAACTCAAGGGAGTCTATGCCTGTTTGTTTTGCACATTTCAGAAATACGGCTACACGCACCTTTCTGCTGGTGACCTCCTTCGAGATGAACGAAAAAGGCCAGGCTCGCAGTATGGAGAACTCATTGAGAACTACATTAAGGAAGGGGAAATTGTACCGGTTGAAATAACAATCAGCTTGCTGAAGAGGGTAAGGAAAGGGCTGTTTCCTTTCTGGTTCACTCTTGCAGACCAGGCACCAAAGCAGTGGCCGTATTCTGGAAGAACTGCCTTTCCTGCGGCGTGAGCAGTGTGAAATACCAGACACGCTGTAGGTGCACATTGTGTACTGGGCTTCTCTTAGCAATTACTCATGTTTCTTTCGGGCTGGTTGGAGGACAGTAGGTGATGGCCCCTGCCTGAGGATCTGTGAGAAATTATTTTTATTTTGTTTTTTTAGCAGCTCCAGGGAAATCAGTGAAATTGTATTTGTTACTTCCCTTGACTAGCTTCTGGACCTCTTGGTCAGCTCAGTCATATTTGACTGAAAGGTAGAGGCCATAAAGGTCCTAAGTTTCTGTTATTTTTGTCAAGATAGATAGCCAGGTGAAGAAAAGCCCCTGCCAATGTTCCTGTGGAAGGAAGAGCTCCAGCCTTTATGCTTGTTAGATGTCCAGGAAAAAAAAAGAGTATCCCTTTTAGGACAGAAAAGTCTTCTGTTGCTCATGGCACTAAATTTATCTAGAGTTTTTCTGTTAGAATTAACTCTAGATCAGGGGTGTTTTGGCATCTTATTGTGTAACAGCACTTTCCAGTATCTTGTGGAAAATTGACTTGAAAGCTGGGATTGTGTGTTACGAGATTTTTGAGCTTGGTGAAACAGCCTTCTTTCAAACTGGATTCATTGCATTGGTGCATCAGTGAATCAGCTGGCATGCACTGAATGTGAAACAAAAATACATTTTGTAGATCTGCAATAATCCTAAAATAAATGCTTTTCAGCTTACCATGTCAAAACGTGGCGGGTAATTTAGTAAGTAGATAAACAGTTGTATGTGCAGGAGATCATGAATTGAATTCTCTTTTATCAGGCTATGGATCAAACAATGGCTGCCAATTCCCAGAAGAACAAGTTCTTGATTGATGGGTTTCCCAGGAATGAAGATAATCTTCAAGGCTGGAAGAAGACTATGGATGGAAAGGCGGATGTTTCTTTTGTTCTCTTTTTTGATTGTGACAATGAGGTAATGAAGTGTGTAATTCTGTAACTTCCTTTCTTGCTGTATTGAGAGAATCATTCAAGAGGAGCAATAAAACTCTGTGAGGTAGTGAATGGACTAGTGTAAGAGCAGCAGGAAAACTTGGTCTGTGAGTTCCAAGGATTTTTTGGCAGCTTGCTTTTGCAGATAAAAAACTGTATGCTTTTGAAATAGCAGGCAGCTAATTGCACTTGGTATAATCATGTGCGAATAAATTATGTTGAAGAAGTACTTCAAGCAGTTGCATTCTTCAGGAAAATTTATAAAAACTTGGAATACATTATACAAAATTACTCATTTAATTTTCAGAAAACGTTACTCTGTTTACTCTTAGTAACCGTTGTTTAGTCCAAAATGAGCTTGACAGCAATGTCTGCTTTAGAATCAAAGTGCTGGCAGCAGCAGTCTTTATTTTCATAGTTCTGAGCTGTGCTGTAGGATGATCAGTAATCAACGTTTTATTCAGCAAGTCAGTAGACTACAAGGGCATTTTGACAGTGATACATTAGATTCATTTAACAAGTGCCATGATAGGCTGTCTTTTTAATATGTCAGTGCCCTTGAGGCGTAAAAACTGAAATGAGAATCCCAGCACCTTAAGCTGACTTTCTTCCTTGTACCCTTTTCCCCAATTTCCTGAGAAATTGTATTACCTTTTTAACTTAATTGCGTATTTTTTTTTAATCTCAAGGAACAAGTTAGGGGTTATTTTTTTCTATTTAAAAACTTAAATAAGACTAAATGATTTTTTTTTTTCACTTAGTGGGGGTCTTAATTTTGGGGTTCTAATTTTTTTACTAGATCTAAAAATAGACAACAAAGCCTACATGATCTTCTGGGGTTTTTTTGCTATGCATGTAATTTGTAGGGAGAAATAATTTTTAACCATTTTCCTCTTGCATGAGCAGGACAAATGTATTAGTGAGATGTATATGTGTCAGTGTTGCTTGCTTAACTTTGTGTTTCAAAACTTAGTTCATTGGGCAGCTTTGAACTATTTAGTTCTTCAGTGTTTACTGTTTTGGTTTTGAAGTCTTCATTATAGCAATGTCAAGTAAGAACTGTTTGACTTACAATAACTTGGTAAGTAGCCTTACAAAATTCTTGGGCCAACATACAGTGACTTTCTTCCCGTGCAGGGATTTATTAGTAGTCTAATTTGACAGGCTGCTTTTCAGAAAGTCTGAACACATCCTTGAAAATGAGGTAAGTTTATTCTTTAGATGTCTCAAGTTGGAGACCCAGGTGAACCACAGAGCTTGATGTTACTTTTACTTCCACTGACCCCAATCCCATTTTGAGAGCCCTCGTTTTAATAAACTGATGAAGTGTAAAGCTGTCATCCTTTTTCTCTGGAAGAATCTAACTTTCCATCATATTTTTGATGTTTTTTGTAGATATGTATCGGTCGCTGTCTTGAAAGAGGCAAGAGCAGTGGCAGGAGCGATGATAATCGTGAGAGTCTGGAAAAGAGGTACTATCTCTAAAACTTCTCAGTTCCCTTCTGTTTGTATCTTACTATGTAATGTTTTTTTTCCCCTGCGCTTTCTCCTAGAATTCATACATATCTGCAGTCTACTAAGCCAATCATAGACTTGTATGAGAGAATGGGAAAAGTCAGAAAAGTGGATGCCTCTAAATCTGTTGATGAAGTAAGTATATAAGCCAAGGAAACATGGGGGTGACAGTGGCAGGGTACGTATTTTTGGCATTCTTCAGAGAAGTGTGTAGGTGCTAGGTAAGGGTGTGTAGGCTAGGGTGCTAATTAAGCACCAAAGTGTATTACTGAGGGAGGTTGTGGAACTCTCGTTTTGACGCTTGAAGAACTGATTTAAGATGTGAATATCTAAGAAATCAGTTAGATCTGCTTGAACATGAGCTGGACTAAACACATTTTCAGTGTTACTGTGTTTAACAGTGTCTTGTGCTTCTCGCTTAATCAGATTTTGCTTTTCTGAAGTAGTATTGCTCTTCTGTCTCAGTTTCCCAGAATTGATGCCAATTTCACTATTAAAGGATTATTGTGAATGTTCTAAGAAAAACCTATATGTTTTTTAAAATACGGTCAATTAGTGTGTGTGCTGCTTTAACTTTAAGTAACTGTTTGACTAACACTTCAATAAATTCTTTTCTCTTCTTAGGTGTTTGAAAAAGTTGTACAAATTTTTGACAAAGAAGGCTAATTCCCAGCTGGAAAGTTCATTTAAACTTGTGCTTGAATCTTGCTTGAATAGCTGCTACTGCAGTCCACTCTTTGTAGTTGTTTTAAAAGATTTTTTTTTAATTGTTTTTCACATATCTAATGATGATCGGAGAAGCAGTTATAATTACAAATGGATCTGTTTTTTAAATAGGAAATAATTTCTTGTGGTATACGAATTTCAGGGTTCTCCATTAGTACAAATTCAGTTACTCACATGGCAAAACCACGGTTAAAACATCTCTCTGAAGAGACTACTTATTCTGTCAGAGTTCTGTGCTTATCATGGGCAGCCCTTCTTGTTCCTTATTGCCATAGACTTTTTTTTTGTTTGTTTTTTAAGGATCAACTAAACAGCAGCACTAAGCAATGAGGTACTCGTGTGCCCTTGTTTGTTTTGCGGATGCTTGGACCAAATTTAGCAAATATTTTTTGAGTGTAATTTCTTCACAAAGTTCCCTGTTATCCCCAAACTTGAATTCTGTAAGTCAAGCTACAGTTAGTATGAGAATCTGTTTTAGCAGTTCTCATAAAACTATTTAATATACTGTTCAGCAACAGACATACAAAGTACTTTATGAAAAGTGGTGCTTTCTTATGACTCTGGATGTAAACTGTCTTGTGAGTTCCTGAGTACCTGAGTGACATGGCCCTGGGCTTTACCTCGTCTTCATTTGCAAAAGGTTAAGAATATAATTTCAAAGTCAGGTCAGTATTTCCATACTCATTTATTTTAGAGCGATAGTTATATTCTTAATTACAGCATGGTCTTCACAAGATGGCAAAACTCTTAAATGGTGTACAATAAGCAAAATCTTCTAACAGTTCTGTCTTTTGTAATAAGTAGAAGGGATTTTCTGTGTTATTATTATTGAAATACTGTGTTACTGAATGCTTTAAGGTTTGTTACCTGGGGAAATATTTTTATGGTTAAACTAATGAATTTGTTTCCCTAAAATTGTACAATTTTAATAGCTGTTTGTCTGAAAGATTGTAAATTATTGCACTTTTGTTATGATGTGGTCAGCTGAGGGGAAGATACCTGCAGTAAAATGTTCCATTCCCTTAAACAAGTCGGGTCCTGCTTCATCACGTTCTCTTGAATCAGCTAGGTACAGTCAGCAGCAATAGTTGGGATAAGTAGGTAACTAGATGAAACAAACCGGTTTAAACGTTTGCACAGATGTGGTGTAATTCTGCCTTTTGTTTCAAGTAACCTTTTCTCTGCCCTGTATAGTACGCACAGGTCTGTGGGGGCCCAACCATGCATTCCTTGCATGCCCTAAGCTTTCACTGAAGAAGGCTTGAAGACGAGTGGTTTAACTAATTTTAGCAATAGAGTGGTTCTTCCAACATTAACTGACACTGTAACGGGTTTGTGATATCCAAATAATAGGTGTTGCAAATCAGAATTGCAATTTGGAAATCTTGAGTTTCAGCTTTCCTTTACTGACGACTTTATTTTGGGAAAGCTTTAGATTAAGCCTAGCTTCTAATTCGAATCAGACGTGTTGGTCCTCATCCTGCAGTCCACGCTGTGCAGGCAGATTTGTATTTGCATAAACTCTCATCTCGCAGAGGTTCTGGAGGCTGCTGTACTGGGGAAGAGGTGGGTACAGAAACAAGGGTAAACTACGGTATCTTCTCCAGTATGGTAGGAGTCCAAGCAGTGGACTGAGCACAAATAGCTGTTTACTACTGCAGAATATATGGACCATGACCGCTTTGGTGAGCGTGGGAGGCAAATGCTTTTGCTTTTTGAATATGCCCTTAAAAAAAAAAATCATGGAATTTAATTCTTATTGTATAAGTATGCTGACATAGGATAGGATCCAGCGAAACTGCGTGTTTCGATATGAAGGTTAGAATCAGGGTTTTTCCAAAAAGACTTCTGACAGGATTCTTTAACCTAATTAGAGAGATTTAACTATCTTTTGTTTCAAAGTTAGTGCTTTTTACAAGTTCTGTTCAGAATAGAGTATGTTTTCTCTCATCATATACTTTTCTGTGTATTTAAGTGCTGAAACAAATTAAAAAACCTTTTGGAGCAAGTTTTTAGAAAAAAAACCCAATGTTTTGGCAATATTGAATTTGGAGTGGATTGTAATGTGTCTGTGCAAAGACTAGGGGTTTTTCTTGTCATTTTATTTATTGAAGATGCCATTAAATGTGTTACCAATTCTTTCAAGTTGGACTTAAGATTGAAATAAAGATTAAAGGCAATATGCCCATGTCTTGTGTCTGTTTAGCAGCAAAACTGTACAAAGAATTTGAGAAGTTCAATAAACTCTGTTCTGTGGCTTAATAAGAGTGTTAGGCTTAGTTACCTATCACGAGGGATATTTTTCATATATATCTATATAGACTGTGTGTTTATTAGTGTTATGTATCTTGCAAGCTTGCATACGCACAGGTATGTACATAAAAGTTCAGTTTACATCATCAGAACTGAAGTCCTGAAGACCCTGTTGGGCACTGGCTAAGACCAGGCAAGTGCCTGTGGAATTGGTACCTCTGCTTGATGATGCAGGTTTGTCAAATTACTCTGTTCCTACGGGTGTGCAGCGATAATTCGTTTGGCACATGTGTGAAAGAAAGGGGACTTGGCAAGTGGACTCGGAAACACAAACCTATTGCACAGCTGCAGTTGGAGACACTTTTTTTTTTTCCATGATTTCTCATGCTTCCTTGCTCAATTACCAGCTGATTTCTTGGATGCCATTCTGCCACTTTGCAGCACGTGTCTACGTGCTGTACTGAGGACTGTGTTCTTAAAGGAGATGGGCACAGCGTAACGTTCTTTAAAACAGAAACTGAGAGGTTGCCAGGCTTATTTTAGAACAAGCTTCACCCTTTGCATGAAGGTTTGTCACAAAATGGGTTGTTTATTCACGTGTAGGTTTGTAGGAGACATCATGTTAGTTTGAAACCTTCCTCTGGAAAGATGGGCAGAGCTGGCCTGCAAAGGGATGAGAAAAGCAGGGTCTTTTCCGGCGGTGTGGATATCTTTCTGCTGGTAAAACTATGTAGACCAAATGTCTTTTTTAAACTGTTCTGCTGAAACCCCATCCTGAGACTGTAGAGTCTCCTTGGGGACTTCCCACTCCCCACGTGGGAGACTTGAACTGAAGATTCCTGCCCGAAAAGTGCCAGGTTTTTGGAGTGGGGGCAGGCGGAGGAGACACGCTTGTGGAGAAGACCATAAACACGCAGCTGAGGATCCGCCTCAGTGTGAGATATTCCCCACTAGCAACATTTGTCCTTAAGAAGAAGAGATGGTTCACAAGGGAGTTCTGAGGTCTTGTGCAAAACGCTGTGTCTTGCAACAGCGGGGACGTCTGTGTGCCGTTACCCAGCCTGAACTGGGGAGAATGGGAGAGTTAAGTGGGGGGAAAAAATCCTCAGTTCAGACTGGAGCTGCCAGCTGCCATTACCGGTTGGCAGTTCCAAGCTGCCAGCACTTAGGGCAGTTGCAGCTTAAGGGATTACTGTTCTGCTCGGGTGGAAGTTCAGTACCAGCTCGGTCCCTGCTGTGGCACGGGTGTCTCTGGAAGCTGCGGTCGGTGGCTGCGGGGCTGGCTGTGTGGGGGACAACCGCTCGCCCGTTCGGCAGGGCTTGGAGCCTGGGCGCTGGGGGCTGCACTTGCCATGACCCGGAGGTCCTGGGGGTAACAGCTAATAGTGAGAGCTGCAAGGCGACCCAGAGAGGAGCCAGCTCGTCAGGTAACAAAGGAGACGGTAACAAAGGAGACAGTAACAAAAATACGAAGCCTTTTGGTTTTGTATAGCAGCGGTTGTCACACTCTGTTCATCTGCAGACCTTTATAAATCTTCCAGTGCATATAGGGGAGCGTAGATGAATTTAATCTTGCTGCTCGCTGCTATTTTTCATGGATTGCTTAGTTTGTGATGGTGGTTTTCAGCCTGTGGTCTGTAGAGTATTGCTGTTGGTAACAACAGGCATCTTTATTGAGTCTTCTAAACTTCTCAGCTGATGTATTCTCTATCCTCCTTGCTTTCTGCCTCTTAATGTCTTTTCCTCACCTTTCTGAACTGTGGATGCTCTTTGGGGTGGGGAAGGGGGTGCTCTTACCAATTTCTATGTGCCTTGCAAAAGAAACAAAATCTTTAAATGCCTTCAGCTGGAGCAACCAAAACCTCTTTCTGCCAATGAGCTTGGTAGATAATCTGTTACAGGACTGAGGTAAAGCACATTGTGCCTTTTTTTTTTTAATTCAACCACAGAAAATCTCTGTAGTACCTCTGCTCTTTTCTCCTAGGTGAGCGAGATCGGATGTGTCTGCCTTGCTTCAGCACAGTGCTTAGCAGCAGTTGCGTGAAAAAACCCCGCCAGCACTAGATGTTAAACTGGCAGTGACCTGTTACGCTTCAGTGAGAGCAAGTGAGATGATTGAGGAGGGGAGGAAAGACGCTTAAAGCAGCTCAGTCAATTCTGTTTCACTAGTCGGATGTCAGCTTCAGATACCCGTCTGTTCGACTTTACCGCCTTGAATTCCAGGGGCTGTGGAGGCAGGAATTTGTCTTCAGGGTAAAGCAGTAGAAGCTAACCTGGGCAGGATGAAGACAAATTGAGCTGTGCTTGTGAAGAACGAGATGCACAGCTTATTTTACTGTGGGTGGCAGTGCCAGGCTATTTTGTCATCCTGGTTTACAAGTGCATTCAGAGAGCAAAGCAGAAATTCTCTTTCCCCCCAAATGTTTGGCAGAAAGCTTGCTTTTGTCTGAAATGCTTCTTAAGCTCTGCACGAACTGTTCAGTCCTAAACCAAATACCGGTCTGAGTAGTGTTTTTTCTTTCTAATTTACAAATAGGAGAGTTTGGTTTAGTTTCTTGTAATAGCTGCTGCAGTGAGGCAACTCTTGGAAGATGCCAGGCGCTGTCTTAAAAGATATTATCTGCTTGATTCTGGAGGGCTTTTTGGCACAGTGCAGTTTCCTTGTGGTAAGAAATAGCAAAAATCACTGTGCGACTACCGAAGTGCAACGGTGTGTGGGTGGTACGCGGAAATGGGGTCTTGTACAACTTTTGTGCTCAGCAAGCACTGCTATTTAGTGCTGTGAAAAGAGAATTTAGGATAGATTCTCAATTAGATCAAGTCTTAGGAGTGAAGCTTAATCTATCGTGGAGGTCTTCAGGGACTATCGAGGTATCTGGAGGATGTAATGTGTGGTGGTCCTCTTTGCTGACTGAGCACAGAGCTGTCTCTTTAGGTTGCTGTTCAGGGCATTACCACTGTTGTCTTCTTAAACTAGAGCCAGCTGAAGTCCCCAGCTATGGTCACCAAATATCGTGAAGTCCGTGTTATCTTCTAACCCAGATACTGCCGTCCTTGTCTGAATACCACCTCTGGTTTCATTTGGATATGATGGAAATCATCCATGCCTTTATTTCAGTGGGAGGACTGGCACATTCTGAAGTTCAGCTGCTGCCCCACCTCATGCTCCACACACACAAACTTCTGTGAGA